AGGGTTATGGTGGTTGGGAGGTGTGTGTGTGGGGTGGTGGGGGTTTGGTTGGGGGGGGGGGGGTGTGGGGGGGGTTGGGGTGTTTGTGGGGTTGTTGGTTGTGGTGGTGGGGTTGTATTTTGGGGGGGGTTTTTGGGGTTGGTTATTTTGTTGATGTGTTTTGGGGGTGGGTTGTGTGGTTGGGGGGGGGGGTGGGTTTGTGTTGTTGGTTGTTGGGGTGGGTGGTGGGGTGGGTTTGGGTGGGGGTTGGTGGGGTGGTTGTGGGGGGGGGGGTTGTGGTGGGGTGAGGGTGGGGGGGTGTGGGGGGTGGGGGTGTGTTTTGGGGGGGGTGTTGGGGTTTGGGGGGGTTTGGGGGGGGGTTGGGTGTTGGTGTGGTTTGGGGGGGGGTTGTGGTGGGTTGGTGGGGGGGGGTTGGGGGGGTGTTTGGGGGGTGGGGGGTGTTGGGGGTGGTGGGTTGGGGGGTTGGGTGGGGTGGGGGGGGGGTGGTGGGTGGTGGGGGGGGGGTTGGGGGTTGGGGGGTTGTGGGGTGGGGGTGGTTTGGGTGGGGGTGGTGTGGGGTGTGGGGGGTTGGGGGTGTTGGGGTGTGTGTGGGTTGGGTTTTGGTGTTGTGGGGTGTTGGGGGTGTGGGTGGGTTTGTTTTTGGGGTGGTGGGGGGGGGGGTTTGGTTGGTTGGTTGGGGTGGTTTTGGGTTTGGTGTGTGGTGGTGTTTTTGGGTGTTGGTGTGGTTTGGGGGGGGTGGGGGGGTTGGGGGTTGGGTTTGGTGTTTTTTGGGGTTGGGTTTGTGGGGTGTGTGGGTTGGGTGGGGGGTTGGGGGGGGGGGGTGGGGTGGTGGTGGGGTGTGGGTGGGGGGGGGGGGGGGGGGGGGGTGGGGGGTGGGGGGGGGGTGGGGGGGTTGGGGGTTTTTGGAGGGTTGTGTGTGTGTTGTTTGTGGGTGGGGTGGGTGGGTGGGTGTTGGGGGTTGGTGGTGGGTGGGGTGGGGGGGGTTGGGGGGGTGGGTGTTGGGGGGTTTTGTGTGGGTGGTTGTGGGGGTGGGGGTTGGTGGTTGTGGTTGGGGGGGTTTGTTTGTGGTTTGGGTGGGGGGTGGGGGGGGGGGTTGGGGGGGTTTGGGGGTTTTGTTGGGGGTGTGTGGGTGTGGGGGTGGTGGGTGGGGGGGGGGGGGGGGTTGTTGTTGTGGTTTGTGTTTTTGGTTTGTTTGGTGGGTGGTGTTTGGTGGGGGTTGTGTGTGGTTTTGGGTTTGGGGTGTGGTGTGGGGGTGGTGGGGGTGTGGTGGGGGGGGGGTGGGGTGGGGTGGGGGTGTGGGTTGGTGGGGTGGGGTTGGGGGGGGGGGGGGGGTGTTTTGGTGTTGGTTGTTGTGGGGGAGGTTTTTGGTGGGTTGGTGGGGGTTGGTGGGGGGGGGGTGGGGGGGGTGGGTGGTGGTTGTTGTTGGGGTTGGGGGGTGGTGTGGGGGGTTGGTTGGTTGTTTGTGGTGTGGGGGGTTGGTGTTGGGGGTGGTTTGTGTGGTCTGGTGTTTTGTGTTGGGGGGGGGGGGGGGGGGTTTGTGGGGGGGGGTGGGTGGGGTGTTGGTTGGGGTGGGGGTGGTGTGTTTGGGGGGGGGTGGGGGTGGGGGGGGGTGTGTGTGGGGTGGTGGTGGGGGGTGGGGGGTGGGGGTTGTGGGGGTGGTGTTGGGTGTGTGGTGGGGGGGGGGGGGGGGGGTGGGTTTGTGGGTGTTGGGTTTTTTTGTTGGGTGGTGGTTGGGTGGTCTCTCTGGTCTCTCTCTGGTCTCTCTCTGGTCTCTCTCTCTGGTCTCTCTTCGGTCTCTCTCTGGTCTCTCTCTCTGGTCTCTCCGGTCTCTCTCTGGTCTCTCTGGTCTCTCTGGTCTCTCTCTGGTCTCTCTCTGGTCTCTCTCTCTGGTCTCTCTTCGGTCTCTCTCTGGTCTCTCTCTCTGGTCTCTCTCGGTCTCTCTCTGGTCTCTCTCTGGTCTCTCTGGTCTCTCTCTGGTCTCTCTCTGGTCTCTCTCTCTGGTCTCTCTTCGGTCTCTCTCTGGTCTCTCTCTCTGGTCTCTCTGGTCTCTGGTCTCTGGTCTCTCTCTCTGGTCTCTCTCTGGTCTCTCTCTGGTCTCTCTCTCTGGTCTCTCTCTGGTCTCTCTCTGGTCTCTCTCTGGTCTCTCTGGTCTCTCTCTCTGGTCTCTCTCTCTGGTCTCTCTCTGGTCTCTCTGGTCTCTCTCTCTGGTCTCTCTCTGGTCTCTCTGGTCTCTCTCTGGTCTCTCTCTGGTCTCTCTCTGGTCTCTCTCTATGGTCTCTCTCTGGTCTCTCCGGTCTCTCTCTGGTCTCTCTCTCTGGTCTCTCTCTGGTCTCTCTGGTCTCTCTCTCTGGTCTCTCTCTGGTCTCTCTGGTCTCTCTCTGGTCTCTCTCTGGTCTCTCTGGTCTCTCTCTCTGGTCTCTCTCTGGTCTCTCCGGTCTCTCTCTGGTCTCTCTGGTCTCTCTCTCTGGTCTCTCTCTCTCTGGTCTCTCTCTCTGGTCTCTCTGGTCTCTCTCTCTGGTCTCTCTGGTCTCTCTCTGGTCTCTCCGGTCTCTCTCTGGTCTCTCTCTGGTCTCTCTGGTCTCTCTCTGGTCTCTCTCTGGTCTCTCTCTCTGGTCTCTCTTCGGTCTCTCTCTGGTCTCTCTCTCTGGTCTCTCCGGTCTCTCTCTGGTCTCTCTGGTCTCTCTGGTCTCTCTGGTCTCTCTCTGGTCTCTCTCTGGTCTCTCTCTCTGGTCTCTCTATAATAAAATCATTTTCGGAGCATACCTTGTGTGTCTTCATATTCCTTGGAGTCTGGGGAAAGGTTGTTTAGATAATCTGAAAGAAACAGGAAGGTGTCAGGGTTAAAACATGTTGCTATAGGAACCAAAGTCGTCTGGGCACAACAGTTTATTAACATTAAAATTCAAAGAGGTTTAATCTCAAACTGATGAAGACAGAACGGCACAGAACAGTTAGGTCCAGATCGTCCAAACTACACAGGACTGAAGGTTTAAAGAGTTTAAAGTCACTGGGTTTTTATGGTTAAACTTCTTTAAAAAGCAAAGTATTTCTCAAAGACAGCGTGAAAAGGTTTCAAACAGACTTAGTTAAAGCTGGTGTATCTGACTTTCAAACAACAGCATTAGCTATAAATCCTTCTGTCATATTTACACATGTCGTTTTGACATGTTTAGATCAGATTTTTCCGACAGAATCTCGATAAAGAGACGCTCTGTCGCAGTGCACCAAAGAAGGATTATTTTCATCGTGCTGTCGTCTGATTTGTTCAAAACACGTTACTTTTGTATTGTGTATTATAATATAAAAAGGTTAGGTACCCCAGCTTTAAAGACTAAATGTTTCTGTGCACTGTTGTTGCCATAACGGACTTGCTAGCTACGTCACATGTGTTTCTACAAATCAAACCAATAAATGAATATAATGTTTATTAAATGCTAATTACCGGTCAGGAGCATGCGATACTGAAGCACCCTCACCACGACCTGCAGCAGCTGATGCTTCAGCGGGAGCTCCGACTCTGCTCCTCCCTGCAAGAACCACAGGCATCAGTAAAGGGCCCTAATCTGCCATCATTAAAGGGCCCCAATCTGTCATCATTAAAGGGCCCTAATCTGTCATCATTAAAGGGCCCTAATCTGTCATCATTAAAGGGCCCCAATCTGTCATAATTAAAGGGCCCTAATCTGTCATCATTAAAGGGCCCTAATCTGTCATCATTAAAGGGCCCTAATCTGTCATCATTAAAGGGCCCTAATCTGTCATCATTAAAGGGCCCCAATCTGTCATAATTAAAGGGCCCTAATCTGTCATCATTAAAGGGCCCTAATCTGTCATCATTAAAGGGCCCTAATCTGTCATCATTAAAGGGCCCTAATCTGTCATCATTAAAGGGCCCTAATCTGTCATCATTAAAGGGCCCTAATCTGTCATCATTAAAGGGCCCTAATCTGTCATCATTAAAGGGCCCTAATCTGTCATCATTAAAGGGCCCTAATCTGTCATCATTAAAGGGCCCTAATCTGTCATAATTAAAGGGCCCTAATCTGTCATCATTAAAGGGCCCTAATCTGTCATCATTAAAAGGCCCTAATCTGTCATCATTAAAGGGCCCTAATCTGTCATAATTAAAGGGCCCTAATCTGTCATCATTAAAGGGCCCTAATCTGTCATCATTAAAAGGCCCTAATCTGTCATCATTAAAAGGCCCTACTCTGTCGTCATTAATGGACACAATCTAACACACACCCACACACACACACGCACATTCTAACATACACCCACACAGAGAAGTCCATAAATCTGCACATTCTTGTTTCTCTTGATTCTCCAAACACTGAACTGTTCCAACACTGAGGGTGTAATGTCGAGTCAGCGTTTATCAAGGGTTTAATTCAAATCATAATAATAATAAATCCTTGTGAGTGGATCATAAACATCGACAAAGAGCTATACTATGATGATATTTCACTGATGGTATCTCTCTGCCTTGGTCCAGCGGCCCTCACATGGTGCTGTCTGCGGCCCTCACATGGTGCAGTCTGCGGCCCTCACATGGTGCAGTCTGCGGCCCTCACATGATGCAGTCTGCGGCCCTCACATGGTGCAGTCTGCGGCCCTCACATGGTGCAGTCTGCGGCCCTCACATGGTGCAGTCTGCGGCCCTCACATGGTGCAGTCTGCGGCCCTCACATGGTGCAGTCTGCGGCCCTCACATGGTGCAGTGCGCAGAACCCTCCCCACGGTCATTATGTGTTGGCTCGCAAACCTCTCAGGGGTCGCCTGCGAGTTTCCGCACAATTGACGCTTGTCCTTGTGCCAGAGATGGTAATAATCCGTGTGGTGTGGGACGAGCCAAATGAAGCCAGAGATTTCAATTGTTTGTGACACTCAGAAAAACAAACACAAAAGCATGGACAGAATTCCGGTCTGGTCCCTGTTGATTTGCTGCGTTCCCTGATCTAATGGGCGAGTGTAAGGACGGACGGTCGCTTCTGTCCGCCTCATCGCACAGCTACACCAAAGTCCCTCTGCTCCGTCACTCCCAGTCTCTGCTCCGTCATTCCCAGTCTCTGCTCCGTCATTCCCAGTCTCTGCTCCGTCACTCCCAGTCTCTGCTCCGTCATTCCCAGTCTCTGCTCCGTCACTCCCAGTCTCTGCTCCATCATTCCCAGTCTCTGCTCCGTCACTCCCAGTCTCTGCTCCATCATTCCCAGTCTCTGCTCCATCATTCCCAGTCTCTGCTCCGTCACTCCCAGTCTCTGCTCCATCATTCCCAGTCTCTGCTCCGTCACTCCCAGTCTCTGCTCCATCATTCCCAGTCTCTGCTCCATCATTCCCAGTCTCTGCTCCATCATTCCCAGTCTCTGCTCCGTTACTCCCAGTCTCTGCTCCATCATTCCCAGTCTCTGCTCCATCATTCCCAGTCTCTGCTCCATCATTCCCAGTCTCTGCTCCGTCATTCCCAGTCTCTACTCCATCATTCCCAGTCTCTGCTCCGTCATTCCCAGTCTCTACTCCATCATTCCCAGTCTCTGCTCCTTCATTCCCAGTCTCTGCTCCATCATTCCCAGTCTCTGCTCCATCATTCCCAGTCTCTGCTCCGTTATTCCCAGTCTCTGCTCCATCATTCCCAGTCTCTGCTCCATCATTCCCAGTCTCTGCTCCGTCATTCCTAGTCTCTGCTCCGTCATTCCCAGTCTCTGCCCGTCATTCCCAGTCTCTGCTCCGTCATTCCTAGTCTCTGCTCCGTCATTCCCAGTCTCTGCTCCATCATTCCCAGTCTCTGCTCCGTCATTCCCAGTCTCTGCTCCGTCATTCCTAGTCTCTGCTCCGTCATTCCCAGTCTCTGCTCCGTCATTCCCAGTCTCTGCTCCATCATTCCCAGTCTCTGCTCCGTCATTCCCAGTCTCTGCTCCGTCATTCCCAGTCTCTGCTCCATCATTCCCAGTCTCTGCTCCGTCATTCCCAGTCTCTGCTCCGTCATTCCTAGTCTCTGCTCCGTCATTCCCAGTCTCTGCTCCGTCATTCCCAGTCTCTGCTCCATCATTCCCAGTCTCTGCTCCGTCATTCCCAGTCTCTGCTCCGTCATTCCCAGACTCTGCTCCGTCATTCCCAGTCTCTGCTCCGTCATTCCCAGTCTCTGCTCCGTCATTCCCAGTCTCTGCTCCATCATTCCCAGTCTCTGCTCCGTCATTCCCAGTCTCTGCTCCATCATTCCCAGTCTCTGCTCCTCATTCCCAGTCTCTCCCATTCCAGTCTCTGCTCCGTCATTCCCAGTCTCTGCTCCGTCATTCCCAGTCTCTGCCCGTCATTCCCAGTCTCTGCTCCATTCCAGTCCTCCGTCTCCGTCTCTGCTCCTCATTCCCAGTCTCTGCTCCTCATTCCCAGTCTCTGCTCCGTCATTCCCAGTCTCTGCTCCGTCATTCCTAGTCTCTGCTCCGTCATTCCCAGTCTCTGCTCCGTCATTCCCAGTCTCTGCTCCGTCATTCCAGTCTCTGCTCCGTCATTCCAGTCTCTGCTCCATCATTCCCAGTCTCCTGCTCGTCATTCCCAGTCTCTGCTCCGTCATTCCTAGTCTCTGCTCCGTCATTCCCAGTCTCTGCTCCGTCATTCCCAGTCTCTGCTCCGTCATTCCCAGTCTCTGCCCGTCATTCCCAGTCTCTGCTCCGTCATTCCCAGTCTCTGCTCCATCATTCCCAGTCTCTGCTCCGTCATTCCCAGTCTCTGCTCCGTCATTCCTAGTCTCTGCTCCGTCATTCCCAGTCTCTGCTCCGTCATTCCCAGTCTCTGCTCCGTCATTCCCAGTCTCTGCTCCGTCATTCCCAGTCTCTGCTCCGTCATTCCCAGACTCTGCTCCGTCATTCCCAGTCTCTGCTCCGTCATTCCCAGTCTCTGCTCCATCATTCCCAGTCTCTGCTCCATCATTCCCAGTCTCTGCTCCATCATTCCCAGTCTCTGCTCCATCATTCCCAGTCTCTGCTCCATCATTCCCAGTCTCTGCTCCGTCATTCCCAGTCTCTGCTCCGTCATTCCCAGTCTCTGCTCCGTCATTCCCAGTCTCTGCTCCATCATTCCCAGTCTCTGCTCCGTCATTCCCAGTCTCTGCTCCTTCATTCCCAGTCTCTGCTCCATCATTCCCAGTCTCTGCTCCGTTACTCCCAGTCTCTGCTCCATCATTCCCAGTCTCTGCTCCGTCATTCCTAGTCTCTGCTCCGTCATTCCCAGTCTCTGCTCCGTCTTTCCCAGTCTCTGCTCCATCATTCCCAGTCTCTGCTCCATCATTCCCAGTCTCTGCTCCATCATTCCCAGTCTCTGCTCCATCATTCCCAGTCTCTGCTCCATCATTCCCAGTCTCTGCTCCATCATTCCCAGTCTCTGCTCCGTCATTCCTAGTCTCTGCTCCGTCATTCCCAGTCTCTGCTCCATCATTCCCAGTCTCTGCTCCGTCATTCCCAGTCTCTGCTCCGTCATTCCTAGTCTCTGCTCCGTCATTCCCAGTCTCTGCTCCATCATTCCCAGTCTCTGCTCCATCATTCCCAGTCTCTGCTCCGTCATTCCTAGTCTCTGCTCCATCATTCCCAGTCTCTGCTCCATCATTCCCAGTCTCTGCTCCGTTATTCCCAGTCTCTGCTCCATCATTCCCAGTCTCTGCTCCATCATTCCCAGTCTCTGCTCCGTCATTCCTAGTCTCTGCTCCGTCATTCCCAGTCTCTGCTCCGTCATTCCCAGTCTCTGCTCCGTCATTCCTAGTCTCTGCTCCGTCATTCCCAGTCTCTGCTCCATCATTCCCAGTCTCTGCTCCGTCACTCCCAGTCTCTGCTCCGTCATTCCTAGTCTCTGCTCCGTCATTCCCAGTCTCTGCTCCATCATTCCCAGTCTCTGCTCCGTCATTCCCAGTCTCTGCTCCGTCATTCCCAGACTCTGCTCCGTCATTCCCAGTCTCTGCTCCGTCATTCCCAGTCTCTGCTCCGTCATTCCCAGTCTCTGCTCCATCATTCCCAGTCTCTGCTCCATCATTCCCAGTCTCTGCTCCATCATTCCCAGTCTCTGCTCCATCATTCCCAGTCTCTGCTCCATCATTCCCAGTCTCTGCTCCGTCACTCCCAGTCTCTGCTCCGTCATTCCTAGTCTCTGCTCCGTCATTCCCAGTCTCTGCTCCATCATCATCCCAGTCTCTGCTCCGTCATTCCCAGTCTCTGCTCCATCATTCCCAGTCTCTGCTCCGTCATTCCCAGTCTCTGCTCCGTCATTCCCAGACTCTGCTCCGTCATTCCCAGTCTCTGCTCCGTCATTCCCAGTCTCTGCTCCGTCATTCCCAGTCTCTGCTCCATCATTCCCAGTCTCTGCTCCATCATTCCCAGTCTCTGCTCCATCATTCCCAGTCTCTGCTCCATCATTCCCAGTCTCTGCTCCATCATTCCCAGTCTCTGCTCCGTCATTCCCAGTCTCTGCTCCATCATTCCCAGTCTCTGCTCCGTCATTCCCAGTCTCTGCTCCTTCATTCCCAGTCTCTGCTCCATCATTCCCAGTCTCTGCTCCGTGACTCCCAGTCTCTGCTCCATCATTCCCAGTCTCTGCTCCGTCATTCCTAGTCTCTGCTCCGTCATTCCCAGTCTCTGCTCCGTCTTTCCCAGTCTCTGCTCCGTCATTCCCAGTCTCTGCTCCATCATTCCCAGTCTCTGCTCCGTCATTCCTAGTCTCTGCTCCGTCATTCCCAGTCTCTGCTCCGTCTTTCCCAGTCTCTGCTCCGTCATTCCCAGTCTCTGCTCCATCATTCCCAGTCTCTGCTCCGTCATTCCCAGTCTCTGCTCCGTCATTCCCAGTCTCTGCTCCTTCATTCCCAGTCTCTGCTCCGTCATTCCTAGTCTCTGCTCCGTTACTCCCAGTCTCTGCTCCATCATTCCCAGTCTCTGCTCCGTCATTCCCAGTCTCTGCTCCGTCATTCCCAGTCTCTGCTCCATCATTCCCAGTCTCTGCTCCATCATTCCCAGTCTCTGCTCCATCATTCCCAGTCTCTGCTCCATCATTCCCAAAAATTGGGTATCGCATCTTTAACATTAGAGTAAAATGTGTGAATAGATTTTAATGAAACAGCACCAGTGTTTTGTGGAGCAGCTGTAGGACTGATCTGATCACGGCTGTGGCTCATCACTGTCACCGCCACAACCAGATTAGAGGAGCAGCAGGAGCAGCAGAGGCAGCAGGGGCAGCAGGAGCAGCAGGGGCAGCAGGGGCAGCAGGAGCAGCAGGGGCAGCAGAGGCAGCAGGGGCAGCAGGGGCAGCAGAGGCAGCAGGGGCAGCAGAGGCAGCAGGGGCAGCAGGAGCAGCAGGGGCAGCAGGAGCAGCAGGGGCAGCAGAGGCAGCAGGGGCAGCAGGAGCAGCAGAGGCAGCAGGGGCAGCAGGAGCAGCAGGGGCAGCAGGGGCAGCAGGAGCAGCAGGGGCAGCAGAGGCAGCAGGGGCAGCAGGGGCAGCAGAGGCAGCAGGGGCAGCAGGGGCAGCAGAGGCAGCAGGGGCAGCAGAGGCAGCAGAGGCAGCAGGGGCAGCAGGGGCAGCAGGGGCAGCAGAGGCAGCAGGGGCAGCAGAGGCAGCAGGGGCAGCAGAGGCAGCAGGGGCAGCAGAGGCAGCAGGGGCAGCAGAGGCAGCAGAGGCAGCAGGGGCAGGAGAGGCAGCAGAGGCAGCAGAGGCAGCAGGGGCAGCAGAGGCAGCAGGGGCAGCAGGGGCAGCAGAGGCAGCACCAT